ACTGGATCCCTGACTGGCCTACGAAAGTGCATTGACCGATCACGTTGTCATTTATCATTTTCACCTGTCCTAATCATTGTTTTCATTTCCAATCTCTTTGACTGTCTGTGGCCCATCCCCTCTTTGATTTCATTATAGTAGAATTGGTGATCTTCATATTCCCCTCCTTCTCATCTGCAGTATCTTTCTCAGCCTTGAAACTTAACAGAGATGAAAACAAGCAGTTATATTCGACTTCAGATATTTTAACAGCATTTCTCTGTGGGTTCCTTAGCAGACGTGATATGATCAGGGACTGTTATGAAATTTATTGCTGCTGTTAAAAAGGGAGTTTCAGGGATCTTTGAATAAACTACACAAACTACATAAAAGATCTATGTCTCTACCTTTATCTGTCTCTTCTCTCTCTGCCTGCTGCATCTCCATACTCTGAGATTTATGAGCTTTAGAGATGTAATTAATTAATTCCAGGTCATCGTATTCCTCCCTAGTTTACATTTACATATTAAATTGAAGGTGAGCACTTTGTCTGCCATCTATACAATCTCTGTTCCCAGAGAGAGAGAGATAATAAAGGGCTGAGCGGGAGAGACAAGCGGTAAAAAGACGCTGAAAGACAGACATTTCCTCTTTTGTTTCGCTCTGCTGACCTTTTTCAAAACAAACTTATACTTCTTTAAAGAAAAGTCAGTTGAGCGAAATGTTAGCAAATAAGTAAGCCGATGTCTAGATGGATTTAGCACCCATGGACTTTGTTTTGTACCCCACAAGAGAACAAAAGCAGTGATGTTTACGCTATCTACATTGATCTTTGATAAATGCTGTGCAGCCGGTCGTCCAAGGGAAAACTGAATCTCGGTCCTGTCTCCCGATTTATTTCTTTTGTTTTGCTGCTGATGATTTTCAGTAGCGCTACACTTGACTCTCAAACACTTTAATACCCGCTCGACACCAGTGGCAACCTTTTTGTCCCTGAGCTCTGCAGCTGAAGCAGAAAATGGGGCAAAAACTCTTCAGTCTGTCTGACTGATTATCTGTCTGACTGCCTGACTGCACGTTTGAAAAATTTACCCCGATACATTACTGGTCGGCCTGTTTAGCCACTGAAGAGCAGCACGACTGGGAAATAAATCCTGGCTCGCACAAGCATTATGGTGTGACTGACATGCAGTGTCCGGGTCCTTCGGTCAGCAGAAATCCATCTCATTAACTGGCAAGTTGCACACACTCACACATTCGCAGACACATCATTCAAACACGCACCCTCGAGGCTCGGTCTTGGCAGTTTTAACACTGCTGCCCACAGACAAAAGGCAGCCAGCTTTTTGGACAGGCTACGACCATCAGCTCAGTCACTCAACATGTGTTTAAATTTATTACATTTTGCCTCAAAAGTCAGCATCAGATTGCAGAGTAAAGCAGATGGTACAGCATCGTACGCAAAGGCTGGAAACTTTGTCAGTTGGACAGGTCATTATTTGAAAATGTTATTTTTCTGGCTGTAAAAGTTTTTCTTGTAGAAAGTTAGAGATCTTTCTTTTTCTTCCATTTTATAGAAAGAGAAAACAGTAGAATTCAAAAGAATACAAACTAAAATAAAACTCAACAAAACCGGATCCTGTTTTAAAGCCAATCTCAGGATGGCTTTATATTCCTACTGCTGAATTCAGCCGACCATTTAAGGGGGCACAAAGGACAAAACAAGTTAGGTATAGTTTTTAAAACATAGTGGGGTTTAGCCAATGCTACAATAAAACAGTATGTATAAAAATTGTAGGTCTTTTGCCTAATTCAAAAGCTCTAAATATCCTATGGAACTGTGGAGTTAATAACATACAGCTACCTAACTGCTAAAATACTCACTTAAAAATGATTCTTGGCCCTCGTAAACACGAACCAATAATTTGAGTAAAATGTTACTGAAATATATCAAATCAAGCTTATTTATCCAAATATTTAATCAGTAAAATATACTTGGTATAAGCTTCCCAATCAAATATATTACATTTGATTCCATTTAATGTAACATTTTAATTTGTACTTATGTTAAAAAAAAAAAAAAGTTTTTATTTTACATGTCATCAAAGTACTGTTTAAGGACACATAAACATTTTGGAGTGCACACCTGGCATGTCTTTTTTGGATTGAAGCCTTTTTCCAGGAAAGGGTTTTCCTCTTAAGGTCTTTATACACATGCCACATCATTCAGAGAAACCATTTTGCCTTCCCTGCCTGCCACCGCATGGATTTTTTACTAGCCATGTGTGCATTCGTCACAGCGTGAAGTGCTCCAACCTCAGCTGAAGTTTGACTGTACAAAATTACTGAGTGCTGCACTGTGCTCTGCTTAGTGCAAGCCATTGGAAATAATGGCTTTCAGAGCACAGCAGTGCCTTTGTCATTTCCTGTCTGAAAGCCTCATTAGACTTGAAAGGATTAGTTGCTCAATCAAGAGAAACTCAGTCAGATATGCGGATAATTAATAATTCAGGTAGTTTTGCTTGTAAAAAATGACAACTCATTTGCAAACTGAGAACTTTAGATGTTTTTTTTTTTTATTATTCAATGTTAAGTAAATGCTGAGTTTTTGTTCAGCTGAAAGAGAATTTCCAAAAGCCATCTTGTGCCTTTGGAAATCACTGTGGTCATTTTTTATTAGAATCATTTCATGACATTTCAATGACCAGTTAATCACCTTGAATGAAATTGCCTGATTTAAGTTCTGATTAAACCAATATGCATCTGAGTAAGTAATGAACTGCTTTAATACCACGTGTAAGTTTTACACAGGTTTCTACACTTGCTGGAAACTTACTGGAAACTTTATTAGGAACACTAGTACTGGTTTGGACTCCCTATTGCCAGTGCAAAATTTAAGCATCAGCCCATCTGCTTTAATGTTTGATGTGTTGTGTGTTCAGAGATGTTCTCCTGCACGGTTGTAACAATTATTTGAGTTATTCTTTGCTTCCTATCAGCTCAAAGCAGTCTTGCCATTCTCCCTGAACCCTTGTATCCACAAGGCACTTTTTGACTTTCACTGGATATATTCTCTTTTTATTCTCATTTTTCAAAATGTCTATCTACCAAAGTGGTACATGAGTGTATATGTTATGTTGGATTAGATTTTAAAAACTGACATATATGGTCGCCTGGACTTATTTTGTAATTTTGGCTCTGAAAATGGTTGAGGAGTTGGTAATGTGAAGTGCACATGGTAAAATCTAATTGGAGCTTTGTTTCTGTGTCCAGACAGCAGTATGCTGTGAATTCTTTGTGCTACAGTAATGCTTCTCTTCTCTTCTTTACAAAACCTTTTTGTCTTTAGCACAGATGCTAACATAGTTACAGTCATTTAAAGAGCACTTGTAAAACGGGCCCACCGGACGGATAATTAAAAAGATAAAACCCTCCTGTTTCTTTAAGTGACGTCTTCACTTAAAGATGGTCTTGCTTTTGCAAGAATAATTTTTCGAGGTATGCAAAACCTCCTCTGATTGTCTAGTGTGTCTGTCTTTTTAACCTGTAGAGAAACTATGAGCTGACGTTCATTCACAATACGAGCATTCATATACAGATATCTATTACCGCCTCTGTGTTTCCCTCTAATTCTTTTTCTTTTCATCAGAAAGTCTCGTGCCTTTCAGGGTTTTTATCATCATCTTCAACCTCATCTCCTCCTTTTCTCTCATTGATTGGAAAAGCTATAAACCTTCAGTACGATTGGCCTGTGGGAATGCTCTAAGTGCTCCTTCTCTCTCTCTCTCTCTCCTTTTGCTCACATGTTCATTGCATTGTGTATTCCCACTTGCCTTCTCATTCTATCATAAATGCTTTTTAAATCACTTGACTGGAAAATTGACTTGGCATGTCAATTTGGCTGAACCGCCCCAGTCAAGGCTTGGTGTTTGTTTGCGCCTGTAGATGCTTTTATTGTTGATTCTGTTTTTGCCAAATCCCCATGTGTACTTCTTTCTCTGATGAGAGAGAACTCCTAAATTTATTTCACTGCTATTAAACCAGGCATTTCGAATACGAACAAGGTCACAGAATACTGAAAATGCCAGCGGAAGATCGATGATGCCCAGTTTGATTTTATGCAGCAAATGGTACAAAAAGTCGAAATGCACAGCTTCAATTAATAACACTTCACCTGTTCCTGTTTAAATAAGAAGCCAAAATATTAATGTTATTTAACAGCACAAAGCCATTATTTTAATGAAAAAAAAAAAGATTTATTAGTGTAATTAAAATGAACTTAAGATGATTTGGCTTCATCCTAAAGTATTTCTTTCTTCTCTAACTTCTATCTTCCAGGTCACTGAGGCTTTCCACATTTAACGCTGCGAGACTAAAGAGGACCGTGTTCACCATCCAACAAAGTCTGATGGACCCGTGAGCAGACATGTGAGAAGAGATCGACCCAACAGACATGTCAGCTGACGCTTTACACGTTTCTTCTTTACACTGATGAACGTCTGAGCCATCTCTGGTATCGGCACATATTTAGAGGTTTGCAGCACTAGCTACTGAAGTGGACTGCCTTTTAATTCTGGCATCAGCCATAGTTTGATACTTGATGATGGCCAACTAAAACCTTTACCACGTTTTCATATGAGTATGTTCACAAAACCACCTTATTTTGTAGTTTAAATTGATCTATCCATGCTTTTCAGCAGGCTCGAGGAGTGCTGTGATGAATAGAAACTATAGCATTTAGTACTTTTTGTCATGCAGGGAATCTCAGGACACGCCAGAAACAAGCTGGCTGATCACATTTTGGGAAAAGCAGGCGTAGGTGATGGTGTACCTTTCCCCTTCTCATCAGTAATCCCATGACCCCTGCTGAAGTCAGATCGTTGAGTATGAAATAACCTAATCAGAGATCTAACAGTAGCCTGATTTTACCCACATGTCCGTCGGGATGAGCGCATGCCCCTAACCTGGCCACGTCAGCGTTGTCGTGGCTGGCCGCCGCAGGACAGTCGTCTTCCTCTGCCATGACCCGGCTGATGTTGGGCCGGACTCTGGAGCGCATCTGTAAAGGCGTGCTGCTGCTCTGCCTGCTCCATTTCCTCATCATGATGATCCTGTACTTCGATGTGTACTCGCAGCGCTTCGACCTCTTCAGTCGCTTTAACAATGGCCGCAACGGATCCAGGAGCAATGTTAGCGGGGCAGGGAGCGGACATCATTATTACTATTACAACCTCTCCAGGCCCAACGCCACATTAGCCAGCTACCTGGCCACAGGCGAGCAGCTGGTGCCAAGTGTGCAGCCGGAGAACACTCAGACACCGTCTCCCAAACCACTGCCACCATGTCCTGAAAGCCCGCCTGGCCTTGGTGAGTAATAATGTCACAGACTTCTCCTACATTTCCCTCGCTTTTTTCCAATTCTTTTGTAGTTACAATAACATAATGAGTTGTTTTCACCCCAGAACACACACACACACACACACACACCCTTAATATGTTTTCACAGATTTTCTGATTGGTCAGTGTAGTCGCTCCTCAAATGTGCATTATGTACAAACAGGTAGATTTTTTGTCTTTATTGTCAAGCTGTTGGCGGTGACTTTAAATATGGTGGAGCTACCCTTCACAGTTGCCTTTAACAAAAATGTGAGATTTAAAACATTCCTGTCTGTAGTTGTGTTTTTCTTTGACACTTCCTCTTGGGAGGCGAAACCATGGGATCTGATGCAGCAGTCTGCCGATTCTACTTTATCTGGTCTGTCTTTGTCATGTAGCCAGCAAGCTAACTGTAGATAGATAGGATTGTGCATATATCAGGGGGATGTCTTGTGAAAACATTGATGACACGAACAGATGTGAAGCAGACGTCTGTGTGCATCTCTGTTTGATCTGACTTTTAATGCAAAATGAATCTTTTGAAGATGTGAATTTTTTGCCTGAGAACAACAAAGATTTCATGATCATATTTTCTAGAGAAGCTTTTCCCTTGTAACTCCTGCTTTTAATATAATATGTGTGGACTAGCTTTTGTTGTGCTTACACTGTACTCTTCAGCTCCTATTATAACTCATTTTAGCTCAAGTCAGATCTAAGTTACGGTGTACACAAGCTTGAGGTTTAATTTTCTGCTTTTACACTTCTTTAGCTTTTTCTGATAATACGTAGTTTATTTATTTATTCTTCATCCAGTTTGCTTGTACTGTATACCGAGTAATTGTATGACTAAACCAGGAGGATTTGCACATCATTCATTAGAGTAACGTTAGATGCAGATGTAGTTAGATGAGCCTTCGATCAGAGCTTAAAGCTGTGTAGGTACTACTTTATATTCTCTAAATAAATGCATCTCCAATTAGCAAAAGAGCAAGTGTAACCAGAATTTTGTTTTTCTGGGTCAGCCTGCAACATAAAATGGATTTAATGTCAACAATTTACAATGTGGTATTTCAACCTTATAGACTCACAGTGGAGCTATTAATTCATGCAGTGAGACACGTGAGCCGACACAAACACAAACACACAGCAGCACAGTTTTAAAAGAGTCCTGCGTTTTTTTAGTTGTTTAGTGTTCTTAATAAAAATGTTAATACAATATATAAAGTAGTAATGTTTCTTGTAAGGCAACAAAAAATAAATGTGTTAGAAAAAGAATGTGGGCTGGCTCATCACCCTGAAACTTAAAAACAAAGGAAAGGCTCTATTTTAACATTATTTTAACCCGATTTACTCAACCTAGTTAGTTGCTTTGGTTTCTTATGGCTCAGTCACATTAGAGTTAAAACAGAGGGGCGGGCTCCTTGCGAGGACAAATTACTGTTTGCCTGGTGGTTGCATTAAATGTTTCTGCTGTCAAAGACTAAATGCAAGTACTTGTAGTTGATTGCACAAGTGGTGGGAGGTAACCAGTCACATAACAACTGTGGTCTGGTGACTGGTTGGACTGTCTGCAGTTATTTTCAGACAGGTTGTCTAAGGTTTGCAAATGTATTTCTATAAATATCGACAGGTTGCCAGCACTTTGCAGTTGATCTGAATCAGTGTGAACCGATGTGAACAACCTGTCTGCGATCTGTCCGTCTGCGATAAAGGATTGGACTGGTTGCCAACTATCTGTATGTCATTTTGTAGTTGAATCTCTATGAAATGTGAATTTCTGTGTATGTACATAGCAAATGGTTTGCTACAGCCACAGACTTGGAATTTTTGCTGATTTGTCATAGTTAATTGCTACCTTGATGCCATTTAAATGCAAACTGATAGCAGACTGACTGCCATAGTCATTTTCTCCATTTTTAAAGCAGTTATTTCAAAGCTAACATGAGACCTTCATTGAAAACATGGTTACAGTGATTTTTGTCATGTTGAGATCATAAACCACTGTTTTCTCTAGTGTAACTGCAGAATTATCCATCTAAAAAAAAAAAAAATAGAATTTAAAAGTTAAAAAAAGAAAACTGAAAATCAGTGAAGACATCGTCTGATGGGAAGACGGCTTCTTGGTTCCCAACCTTCTGACTTGAATATCAGTGAATTCAGTTTAGAGCCAGTATGTTTTTTAGGAGACTGGCCGGGTTGCCCTGTGAATGCACCGTGGGACTGTAAACTGTGTGGACTTTGTAAGACTTCCCATCGTCAGCAAAAAGATTTTAAGACACACATGCACACACACGGAGGCAGTAACGCTTAGACAAATAACTTTGGGAATAGGTGGAAAATATTCGATATGTATGTAAAACAAGCTGCACACAGGGCACCTTCACTTGCTTACACACACATATCATCATTATGTATCCACCCAACAAATCTGAGGTCGATAGAGTCACACTAAGCCTGGGGTTCACTAAATCCATAATTACATAGTGGTCACACACTTACTTCACACCCACATGCAAACACACACACACCCTTTCTGTCATGAATACTTACTGATAAATAGAGCTCAGGAAGGAACTCCGACTGTCATTATTTCACATTAGCTAAAGTAGGCTTGACCTGCGATCTGAGTGCTGCTTATCTCAGCATCATTCAGTTCATCCTAATGAGTCAAAACAAAAACTCCTTGTAATCGGAAGGTTGCCAGTTCGAGCCCCGGCTTAAACAGTCTCGGTTGTTGTGTCCTTGGGCAAGACACTTCACCTGTTGCCTACTGGTGGTGGTCAGAGGGCCCGGTGGCGCCAGTGTCCGGCAGCCTCGCCTCTGTCAGTGCACCCCAGGGTGGCATTGGCTACAATGTAGCTTGCCATCACCAGTGTGTGAATGTGTGTGTGAATGGGTGGATGACTGGATGTGTAAAGCGCTTTGGGGTCCTTAGGGACTAATAAAAGCGCTATACAAATACAGGCCATTTACTATTACTTTAAAGTCCCTTTCCTTTCAAAAAGAGAAGAAGGACTAATTGTTGTGCCGGTTGTTGGATGTTTGTTCCTCACTATCCAGTTTGATACTGCAACATTTCTTTAAAATCATCATCAGAAAGAAAACTTTTATTGTTTTTTTTGTGGTTTCTTTTCTTTCTTTGCATATTTGTTACACTTGTTTCTGATCGTCAGCCTCTATCCTCTATCATTCTCTGTATTATTGTTGGGTCTTTACCTTACAATATAAAGGGCCTTGAGGCAACTGTTGTTGGGATTTGATGCTTTATAAATTACATTTAATTGAAATCAACCACATTTTAAGTTTAAATATAAGCTTTAAATAAACCTATGATCTGAAATACATCACTGTGACAAATATTCAAAAAAGAGAAATCAGGAAGTGGGTCAACCCTTTTTTTGCAGCACTCTGTTCATACAGTAAAAACAGACTTTTCCAGCAGTTTTTAAGTTGAGAATCTTTTTTCTTCATAGTTCAGTGGGGGAGAAGGAGTAGGTGGACTTTTTAAATATTTACCTTGAAATGAAAATGTGTTATTTGATATTACTCTTTTAAACTTGCTGTCTTTCATGTGGTTTAAGTTAAGCCTGCAGTTCAGAGAAAGGTAAAAAAAAAGTTTACTTTTTGCTCTAAACTTTGAATGGAAACAGTTGATTTTACTTTATGCAAACTCTTTATTTTTAATTCTGTTTGTAATCGATGTATGTTTTTATCAGGCGTATATTTATTATAATTGCGAGTTAAGCATTGACAGTTTTAGACTCTGCACAGTCACAACACAAAAAATTAACATTGAACAATGACTAAATGTATAGAGACAGTTTAATTGGGGGGAAAAAAGGAATTATGTCACTTTCAAGTAGTGCCGGACCGCAGCCTTTTCTTCCAGGAAACATCTGAGGTGATAGTTTGGATTATTTCGTCCTCCTGAGTTGCTGCAGCCACACAATCCTGTATTCTTTGGCACATATAGTCAACAAATATAAATATATATGAGGTTAATATGCAACATTGTATATTTATATTTCTTTTGTTAAAAAAAACCCTCAAAACATCTTCTGGTGAAATAAGAAAACATGTCTCTTTTTCTTTCCCACCTGTTCCATTTGTAAATGAGCTTAGTAAACGTAATCCCTCGTGAACAGTGGGGGGTAGGGGAGTGAACATCTTTCTCTTTTTTTCACTGATTGCTTTTCTCATTTGATAATGAGGTTGGTAACGTGCTTTGAAATTGGGAGTGAGAGATAAAGCTGTCAGGCTGATTTGTCTGAAGCTGAGGTTTGCTGATTCCATTATTTGGCCTGGAATTGGCTGTCACTGACACTGGATTTGGCATTCATACCAGGCACAGGTGTACTCTTGTAGCTTATCTCTGCCTTTTCTCAGTGATGAAGTGGCTGCCTTGGGGCTGTAATGAGCAGGAAGACATAGAAAGACTGAGCGAGTCTGTTTTTCAGTCACAGGTGCACAGAAAGCGTGAGAGTGATCTCTGATGGCGGTATGATGGTTTGTATGAAGTACGACAGAAAGAGAGGCAGGAACGGACTGAAGGAAGGAACAGCAGGTGGAGAGGTGAGGGGGTGTAGAGCGAGAAAGGGAGATGTTGGACAGTGGTATACACAAACACACACACTACACACACACACACACACACACAAACTCACATAGAAAGTGAGTGAAAAGGGGGGAGAAACAAACAAGCAAGTCCTTGGCTGTCCCACAACACCAGCTGACAGGTGCTTCCTGTATGAGTGGCTAGCATCCACAGTTTATATCCTGAATGTGTGCGTTTCTGTTTGTGGCCGTGTGTTCGTGTTTATTAGTGTTAGCTGGCTTGTGAATTTGCAAACCACCAGTTCCTTATGAAAAAATTCTTATATAGATATTAAGAAAATACAGATTAAGGAGTTCATGTTTGTCACTTAAATGCAATTTCTCTGTAAAAAGGAAGAAAAAATATGTGGATATAATATGAAAATCACAAACACTGT